TTGGCACCACATCGGTCGTATTTGGCCGCCAGGAGAGGGGGGTCGTAGTTGAACCGAAAAAAAATTTATTCCGATGGTTGATATTTCTTGCTTCACGGACTTGTAAAAGGGGGTGGGGTGGGGTCGTACTTGCTCATTGTTGGGAGGACCCTCCCCCTCCACTCGACGGCTCCTCGATTCGATGAGGAGGGACAGAGGACCGGAGAGGGGGGGGTCATACCAATCCCCAAAAAAAGGGGTACGAACTCGTTAAAATCCCCAACCAATGATGTGCCCTGTCCTATAGGCATATTGTGAGCAGAAAAACTCGACTTTTTGGGGTTTTAGCAGTTGAATTGTGAACACAACTATGTATGAGGGAGACATGAGTAACAAGAATCGTACTCAGAACCAACCTCGAAAGATCCTTTCTTGAACATCATAACAGACGTATTGTTGATGCATGTACCCTCGGGGAAAATGATTATTGGAAGCTTGTTCTCGTCCTGCACGTGCTCTTGCAACCTGAACGTGACACAATTTCCATAAAACAAATCGATTCATCCCCCACATGGCAGGACTGCCTGTGGCTGGCAAGCATACGGACTAACATGAAGGTGCACAAAGTTTTTTGCAGTCGTGCATTGCTCGTTTACGTGAAAAAATAACAGCAGCTGGTCGTCACGAAATCACTGCTCCATTTTGTCGCTAGCTTTCGCGGAGCTACTGCGAACATTGCGCGACGCTCTGCTGGACCAAACGCTACACGCCCATTATGTAGCGATATGCGCCAACCTAGTGATTATGCATGGCGTACACCATCGTGATAGAAATCACACCATGGGACGTATCTGGTAGCGGAGGAGGTAGGGGTATTTGAGATTATAAGTGGTTCAGAGACTTATCGAGGGTGGGTGAGACGTTCTGTGAGCACTGGTGATTTTCGATTTACTCAGCAGTATTATTTCCTTTAAAGGCAGTTGGCACGATGGTTTCCTACTTAGCCTAAAATGCTAGTAGGGCGCTGTATAGTGGGGAAATGGCGAAAGAACGGAGTGAAACGGTCAAAATCCTGCGAAGAAAAAGCCTCCGTTCTCAGTGACTTGTAAATCGATTTCGGAGTTTCCCGTAGGCATCTTACCAATCACCGCTACCGAAGATACGGCTGCATATGTGTACCCATGTATGCATGCAGCATCACGGCCGCTTCATACCAATCCCTTCGCTTCATATTTTGCTTGGCAAATGAATGAATACGAGCGTCAGGAACGGTCGTCCATTTGTGGGCGAGCGGGCGCGGCGGGCGCTTAGGACGTAAAGTTGTGGCTTGATAGGGCCCTTATAAATGCACCTTCCTCGGGAAAACCGCCAGTGCAGCGCCTCCCAGCGGTCGCGAATTCATCTGCCAGGCAGTATTAATCTTAGTAGTCTTGGCGAGATTATCTCTTTTTTGCCAACTGCCCTGGGACCTCGCCCCCCCCCCTTCCGATTCGACCAGGGTACAGCATGGGGATGTGCGAAATGGCGGTGTGAGTACGACCCCCCTCCCGAAGAGGGTCCAGTTACGACCCCCCCCCCCCCTCCCCCCCTCCTGCTCTAACTGTACCGGATGCATGTTCACACCAAATGGCTTCCTGAAATAGAATCTGGATTTTTGAAAGGCGGACTCTGCTCCAAAATCCAGGCAATAGTAGGCTGTTTCAGCCTTATGCAATATGAGGCGGAAAAACACACTCGCGATTACTATTAGGTTGTCCGGAAAGTTCTTAGCGTTTTGGGTGTTTAACTTTAAACGATCATAACTTTCTTAACACTCATCGGATTTAATCCAAATAAGCACCATTCGAATCAGCACACTTTTGCCAATGTGGCAGCAGTCGAGAAATCCCATCAAAGAAAAAACTGGGTGGTCGAGAATCCACGAAATCTGCGAAGGTCTTTTTTGCCTGGTCTTAATTGATGAAGTATTTTTCAGCAAGGAAGTTCTGAAAATGTCTGAAAAGGTGACAGTCGGTTGGTGAAAGGTCTAGAGAATATGGTGGGTGAGGTAGAACTTCAACTCCCAATTCGTTCAATTTATGGATAGTGATTTGTGAAACGTGTGGGCGGGCGTTGTCATGCAAAAGAATCGGACCCTTTCTTTTGATAAGTGTTGGCTGCAGCTGACAATATTTCGGTACATTTGGTCGGTTTGTTCACAGTAGGGTTCTGCTGTGATGGTTTGGCCTGGTGATGAAAAGTTATAGTGGATTACAACAGCCGATGACCACCAAACCTGACCAGAATTTTTTTTCGCGAGGGTTCGGCTTTGAAAATTACCTCGGTGGTTCCTCCAAATCCAACCACTGTCCGGAACGTCTCCTGTTATCATACATGATCCATTTTTCATCACAGGTGACAAATCCGTTCAAAAACGGGTCAATTCTTTTGCGCAAAAGCAGTGAAGAAGGAACCTCGAGACGTGCCGATTCCTGCCGGTCACTCCGATTGTGGGGCACCCAATTGTCGAGTTTTTTCACCTTCCCAATGCGTTCCAGACCATCTGCAACAGTGGATTTGCCAAGGCCTAGCTCTTCTGCTATCTCTCGAACTGTTTGGGATGGGTCAGCCTCAAAATCCCCCTAAAATCCTCGTCAGATATTGCTTTAGGTCGACCGCTATGAGGCTCACCTTCAAGGCTGAAATCTCCAGAGCGAAATTTATTGAGCCATTGCCGCACAGTGCTTTCTCTAGCACTATTGGGCCCCCACACCTGGTTAATTTGTTGAGCTGTTTCGATTGCGGATTGCCCCAATTTATAGCCGAAGAAAAAAATCGTCCGAAGTGCTCTTTTCACATGCTTGAAAAAATCTTGAAAAAAGAGGGTTTATCAAGCAATGGTGAAACGGCAATTATACCATCAGATAGCGCAAGAAATTCTCTACAGGATGTGCTACTGAGAAGCAAGGCAGAATGAGTTTTTAATCAGCAGTGAATGTACAAAATTAGGTGCACAAAACGCTGAGAACTTTCCGGACAACCTAATACAATGTCTTAGGATGCAGAATAAAACTCGTGGTTCGACAACCACGTATGACATGCAACTTGTAAATCAAGGAAACACAATCGTAAACCAGCGACTCTGGTGATCATGATAAGCTAAATTGTAGTGAAAAAAAAACTAGCCCCAAGGTCAGCGTGTCAGGTCCAGATGTGCATCAATGAATGGGTGATGGGGGAAAATCATGAAAACATGCACGACACAACAAAGCGAAACATGAAAAATACAAAAAAAATGCGGAGCCACATGAAAAAATGGATGACCGGGTGGCAGTATATCGTTTCATACTTGGCTAGTATCGATCGCAACGTTGCGACCGCCTTCATTGGAAAAACGTCATTGGAGGACCTGCCAACGTCCTGGGGTCTTTTAGGGGGTTATATCTCTTTGAGAGGCGCGGCTTTTGATGAATGATTGTAGCAGCATGCAACGGGAATGTTCCTACTGTTGCGTTTTCTACCCAGTTGCAATCTGAATGTTTCCCCGTTCTCAAAATATTTCGGATGGGTTTCGGATCGGCTAGGGGTAAATGGCAAGCGGGTTTTTATGCTTCACACGAGGATTACTTATTTCGAACGCAATTTCATCAGGATTAAAATAGTCTTGAACCTGCCCTATCTTTTCTTTCCAAAAGCTTTACAGTTTTCCTGAAGACCCACTAGTTCAGGAGATATTTTAGATGGGCCACAGACGCGTGGCTACCTTTGACCACCCGAAAAATCGACTCCTTCTGTGCCATTGTGAGGATACACCTTGAAAGTTCAGTGTGCCTTCAAAACACATATTTCCCTTCAAATGAGTGAAAGAGATATGCTATAACTGATCGATCTGGTTCTAGTGTTGCGCCGTCGCATTAACGCTCACACCCCAGATGGCTGGGAAAGGTGTAAATTCTATTTCAGGTGCTTTTATCCATGCAAGCAGATGTTTGTTTAGGGTTTGGAAAGGAAATACGCACGAATCTGTTTGAGACGTATTATTTAGTCATCTACGTACTTACGAGTTCATGCTATTGACTGATATTTATTTGAATATTTATAATTACAAGTCTATCCCTCCTCCCCAGCCCCCCCCCCCTCCGTAGGGAGTTGCCATCATAATCTCGTCCAAACTCGGCGAAAGGGGGCATTAAATGTCAAATTATTCCAATTCTGGCCACTACACACCAATAGGCTGAATAATCGATACCTTTGCAGCACCTTTTTCCTGTCACCAGCCTCACTTCGCTCGAACCAGATGTGGTGCTCAGCACGACTCAGTGAATCCTGTATGAAGCCTAGAAATAAGATATTCATGATGGAAAATCATTAATAGAGCCAATTTCATAGAAATAATGGGAACGAACTTACCGAGAAAACCTCCTTGTTTTTGTCCAATCATTGCATAGCAATTATCACAACTCAAGACCATAACATCAATTGGTGATGTATGATTTGCAACACAAATACCTCCTTTCTTGGCTCGATTCTCCCTAGAAATCATTTACAGGGACATCAGCAAACAAAGCAACATTATTTTTGAATTTTTTCAATTTTTTCTTCAGTCTGCTCAATGGGCAGACGTCAGCAGACGTCAGTGAAGGAAAAGAGGTCACGAACACACTTTAAAGGCAAGTGGAACGCAAGGCGTACAGGGTCTTGCACGAAAGAATATCATGCTTCTTAGTAGGCGCTGCGCGGCGCTTTCTAAGGCAGCGTTCAGACTTCGCGACGGCAGCGCTTCTGTCGCGCGTTCGACGCGATCGATGCAGTCGAAAGCATGCGCATCGATCGCGTCGAACGCGCGACTGAAGCGCTGCCGTCGCGAAGTCTGAACGCTGCCTAAAACTGAAGGCATCTTATAGTGAAGATGCAGCATGCCGACCCAACTGCTCACTGCAAGCGCTCGCCCGCAAGTGGCCGGACAATCATATCGACGCTGGTACTCTTTATCGCTTCATTTATGAGGTACAGTTGATACGAAGCGCACATGGATCTATACAACGTGCAGTCGTGACTGTCACAGTGCTTCTTAGCACGATGCCAAAGGGGAACATTGGTTGTATATGGGTAAATTGGAACTCAGTTTCCAATCTTTTAAGTTCGGATAACTTATGTGTAACATCTCGGATTGAGATGGGGCCGTGGCAATGATGTAAGTACCTAAGGACAGGTCGTAAAAGTGGACGACGATGCGAACTTCATTCTCTTCACTCTTGGAGAGCGGACGCTTTCCTTAGTGGAAAAGTGGATGTGCAAGTAGTTGAGCGTCGATAGCTACAGAGCACGTTGGCCCTAGGCGCGTTATTCAGCGCATGCGTCGCTCCCTTTTGGTCTGTAACAAAAGGATGGTTGCGCCCTTTGGTGTAAAGAGTTGTCCAACATCCTAGATGGCAGGATATTTGTGGGTTAATACCCTTTCCTTTGCTTGGTTGAGTGTCTGAATCTAGTGGCGTAGATTCTGGCTCATTTTTGTGCTCTGGTTGGCTTCGCCATCCAGGAATTTGTACATATATTGTTTGATAAAAGGTTAGCTACGAAGAGTGATCTGTTATGTAATTGAAACTATCCCAGTGACAGTTATATAGCACCCACGGCTGTTCACGAAACCGCGGAATACGTAGGACGGACACCGCCCTGCGATTCCATTACAACAGAATTCGTCTACATATGCTCGTCCAAGAGTACGGAACAAATGCTTTTTTCGCAGGTTTTTTGATAGTTAACTTTGCGTATGTGCGTCACGCGGTTCAGAATGAGCTACCTTGAAGAACGTTCGGTTCGTTGACAGTGATCAAAGGAATCCACTGATAGGACAGAAAAACAGTACAAAGAAATAAAGTGGAACTTGCCGTTCAGAAGTTGCGTAAACCGAAAAGGTACAGTCTTCTTCCCCGCGGAAACTGGGGCGTGGCAGGGGCTGGGTTTGGCGCGGCGTCAACTCATTCTCGACCAACTGTGGAGGCTCTCATGTGTCCACAACGGGGGGAACACGTTGGCACCGCGCTACTCAGTCCCCTGACACTCCCCAGCGTCAGCAGCGAACAAGAATATACGAAAATCGAAAAAAGGCTAAATGAACTCACTGATCGTGGAATCGAATAATGCTGGAGAATGACCGCGAAAATATTCGCATAGACGCAAGCATAACATGGCGATTAAGGAATTTTCGTATTCTAAAAACGCATTTTTGATGTTCAAAAAACGAAAATGAACAGCACATGGTACAAAGAAAAGTTCACCAACTTCTGATTTGGGACATGTCCTACAATATAGCAGACACCACACATGGTTGTCATTCCAAGAATGAAGAGCATAATGCGGATTGGAACCAAAACTAGGTATCGGAACAGAAAACCAGCTGCCCATAGTAAAGATAATCTCCAGCTGAAAGAAAGTAGATAAAATTGTCCGGCAACCATTCCAGGAGGAGGGACCGTTGACAGGGCGGTCTAACCAAAGACGGCCTGTGATTGGTCGGTTGCCTTTGATAATCATCCTCAAGCAACTGTCGCATATAATGCACCTTATACATCGTTACTACAGAGTTGACTTTCTTTTTTGAACATTCCGCGAATCATTTCGCCCATATATCTGTGGGAAATACAAGTTCGCTCCGCCCTTACCCAGAGTGCTCACAGACTTCAATACTACCCGTCAATGCAGTTTTCTTTTTAGAACACAAAAAAGTATTCACACAACCACAACAAAAGAAGCACAACACAAGGGATATCCAAGCGAGCAAAGGCTAGTCGTGAAGCCTGAGCATGACCTCCTTCTCCAGATCTAAATTTGACACTAAACTAGTGCACCAAACCAAAACTAACTTCATTAGTAAAAGAGGAAAGAGTGGAAAAAGGTCGACATTCTGATGATTTCCATTTTCCTGGCTTCCATGCCTGACGCATGGTGCAGCCGCACTGTAATTTCATCGAAAGATTTTTCAGAGAAAAAATTTGAACATCATTTTTAAATAGGCTGCTGATATTTGTGTGATGTGCAGACGTGTCCTCCATTCATATGTGGCAGCCATCATGCATAAAGTCCATCATGGACAGTAACACTCCACGCCACAGATCTTAGCGTAACTGGAGCTGTTACAGCTCCAGCAATCCAAGCTAGCCAACACATTACTAGGTGGTCGATAGAAACAAACACAATCCAAGTTTGAAAAACAAAAGCCCACAATAATATAAGCCACATCATGAGAAAATGCTAACCGCGCTAGTCGTATAGGCGGGGACAGTCAACCAGCCATCCTCGTTGGCGCGTTTCTCAGGAGAGCCGCACCAGTGAGGAAGTATCAATGCTCGACTGTTGCCAACAATAAGAACAGGGTGGATTGCGCCTTCGAAAAATGACAGACACTGTAGTCTCAAATCAATCCGAAGACTACCTCTATTAGCCCATTTCTAAGCTAACGATTGGATGCTGACCTGGATAATTAGTAAATCAATGACCAACTTGATGTACTGAAATGAGTATCGAGTTCTTGTAAGCAGATTCCATGACGGCAGTTGCTCAGCGCGGAACCGACTTGTCACCTGATCCTCTATGATAGCCTCGATACCGGCCTATAAAAGATAATGGCAGAGAGATTCATTAACCTTGAAAACACTCTGTGCGACTATCTTCAAAGTAGGCTTTCTCTACGTTCGTGAAGGGGAGGTCCGTGAGAGCTGAAAAATGCAACTTTTGCCGCTAGAAAATGCGCAGAAATGACAAAGGAGGGTTGTGAGAGCTGGGTCCTTCTTGAATGTCCGTATGCCATTCCAAATGCGACAAGCCGCCGACACGCCACACGCCGCACGGCCAGCTAGAAGCCTAGCCACGGCCACACGCGCTACCTGTCTGCATAGGCCACCTGGCTCCATGTACGACGTACGTACAGACAACATGACCGCGACGTGTGGCGTGCGCATCCTTTGCCGAACTTGAGTATGATCTACCTATTACAGCCCTCCCGTTTCATTTCCGCGCATATCACGTTGGCGGAAGTGCTACATTTCTCCAGCTACGGACTAGCCCGCCTCGTAGATGGAGTAGGTCCAGCTCGCACGCAGCCGAGTAGACTTTCATTATCATCGGGATACCAGAAAACCAATGAAAAACTAAATGACTTCATCAAAACTCTGTACCTACCGCTATAAAGTCAATACTGTCATCGACGACAACGCTAACAGTCGTTTTTCGGCATTCAGGCTCATCAGTGGAATGAAGTTTTGAATCGACCAGTTCCGATTTTTCTCGATGAATAATACCTCCAAAATACAAAGACACGTTCTCCACTATAATTGAATGTTAGGATTTGCGAACGGCACACGACAAAGGGAAGGTTAGGTGAGTTTAAAAACTTACCAAGATCACCCGAAGAATGCCGCTTTTTCTTGGGTGGTGAGTCTGATGAGGCGGTCGATTCGCTTGTATCTTCCAGATATTCATAACCATGCGTCGTCTGAGCACCCCACTAAAATAAAAATTCCTTGACAGAATTTCACCAACACCACGATGGAAAACTCGTACAAAACTTCGATATCAGCTGTTACATTTTTATGGATAATAATTTTTGTGGAATTATGAATAGTAAATGTTATGGCCTTCTTCATGAATTATCAAATTTCATGAATGAATAACAAAATTTCATGAATTTCATAAATACAAATGCATGCTCGGAGCGGATGTTGGTGCTTGGCGTGGGGGGGAGGGTGTTGAGTTTGGCGCGGGCCAGTCAATCCTCCACCAATTGTGGTGGAAGCTAGCAGGCGACCGCTATTGGTGGAAAACTGGTTGGCACCGCCCCTGTCTACGACATTCCTAAATCCTCTCAACTTCCTACCACTAGCCCGGAGTTTTTTCCAAAAATTCTCCGGTTTCTTCCCAAGAAGAAACTGCTATCGAACGGGGAAGGGAGAAGGGGTACAGAGCGCATTTGGAACGAAAGAACGGATAAAAGCCAACAACTGAAAACTTCGTCTCAAAGGCAAATACGACCATCCCTGCCTCTAGGGACTGAATACGACCCTCTTCGCCCACTCACTGGGAATCCTCAACGTACAAGTGCCCTGATTCTGTGTACTGAGTTTTCGAAGTCATGCATCTTAAGGGGCTTCCATAAAGTGGTCCTGGTCGCCATAGCCGGAGAGCTCCCACTGAGGATTGTCTATAGCACCGCTCGAAATCTTTATGTTAGGTTTTCCAAGGAAGAAAAATCTGAATGGGTGTTCAGGTAATGTACAAGGACAGTGTGAAAGTCTCGCGCATAGAATTCAAACTATATAGAAACCATAATGCCCACGTAGAGAGAGTAAGGTTGGCCATCATCAGCTGAACTAGTTTTTTTATGGCAAAATAAATCAATTTAGAGAAAAGGAAACATATGACGTGCAATATATCAAATATGATGCATTGGGGCGATAGGAAACGAAGGCTATCGACTAAAGACCATCACATCATAGTGTCCGACTTTCTAGTACAATGACAAGATCGTGATTGATCGTGCAAAAAAATCGAGAGAACGACGACTGCGATATCTTCGAGAAGGAAAAAACGCATGGAAAGTGCACGATTTCCACCGAAAAGAGAAGTTATGTAGTGTTATGTTGTGACTTTAGCGACAGCGGAGACAAGTTGCTTCTGTGTTTCCTCTCTACTTTTTGGGCCGCCACGTTGGACTTTTTTGGGTTATTATGACAGATTCTTAGAATTCTATAGATTTTTGGACTCACCCTTGCGACACTATTTACCCTAGTGTCCCTCTTCGGAGAGTGATTTGACCAATTGGACGAATATGCGAAAAAGCGTGAAGCGAAGAGACACTACAAGCGCAAGCAAGAGACTTGAGACGATGCATAAAAAAACCTTAGAACGAGCAGATGACAGCTGGCGTCGTAGTGGCCAATGGTGTCCACTCAGGGCGGGACTGCAATTGGTGATTTGTGTCGCCAGACTTACCGCTCAAATGGCCTTAGCGTCCTCATCACTCATTCGTACAAGTGGGACATGGCATTTGATCACGAAGAGTGAATTCAAGCACCAGAAAGGTAGGTGAAGCCAAAAAATTGGCCCAGAGTGACAATCAACTAACTCTAAAGGAAGGTGAATATGTTAAGGAGTGGTACATAGAGAACGAGCTGCAGAAAGCCAAGGCGGCAATGGAAGATGATATTCCGTAACAAGAAGCAAAGGGAGCCTTACAGTAATGTCAGTCGCAGAATGTCTGATGATAGGAGATTATTCACGACTCTTGGGTGTAGTCAGTACATACGATTCACGTTAAAAGCGGTCAAAGAGATCAGCAGTGGGGTCGCGTGCGCGGCATTCGCACCATGACCCAAGTAATAGCTCAGCATTGCAATAATGAGACGTAACAAATCGAGTACATGAGAAATAGAGGGATAAATGAAGTAGGCTTCGTCGTGGCCAAACAAGCTGGGCCATGTAAGTGGGATGATCCCAAGAGATTCACACACCATCGACCGGCATTGATTGAAATCATCTGTTTTTGCGTAAAGACCGGAACGGTCCGTGGGCAACATCGTTGGAGGAGTACCCTTGCACAGAGTCACAGGCCTCCCATCGAGATTATTAATTTCGAAAAAAGGGCCAAAAAAAGAAATGCAGGCCCGATTTGCTGTAACTAGAGTCTAGACATATCTCATGAGTGCCTTTTTCCAGTAGCTACGTGAGGTATGCGTTAGCGCGTCACACGGCTACTGAAAAACGAACAATCATAAGATAACCTCAACTGGTAAAGTATAAAATAAACAGTAGAAATGAAAACATCAAAGAAAACAGAGTAATGATGTCAGATGAAATTCAAAAAATGCGCTCACATGGAAACATTGGGGCTGATAAGGGATGGTGAAAATCCAGGTATCCTGCTATGCCAATTACCAGAATGAAAATAAACAAAAATAGCAAACAGTAAGTGATACCAGGAAAGCGATAAAACAAAAGTTAAAAAAAGCAAGAAAATGCTATTAGTAAGACAACACAATACAATAAATGAAAATTGATAGAAAGCAGCAGAATGGGCAAAAGAGGATGATTTTCACTAAAGAAAGCATGAATAATAAAAGGTGTTGCTGTAAGTGATGGGCAGCTACACACGCAGCTTAGCGGCACCCTGCTTTGTTCTAAGGGGACGATGAGGATCCCTAGCGCGCCGACGGGCTCCGGCTCGTTGCCTGGGAAGGACTCGAGAGGACGCTTTTGGCTGTTTAGTGAAAAAAGTTTTCGGTCCGCTGTATACCGCCCCCCCCCCTCCCCGATGACAGCCTTTTGGGGAGAAAGTGGACAGACTACAAGACAGCAGAAACTGAGCAGGAAGTTGGGAAAATTCCAGAAAGATGGCATGTAGAATAGTGAATGGGAAAGAAAGGGGGTGGTCGTAGCAGAGGGGGAACCTCTGAGGGACCTTATAGGACTTCAACTCCGCAAAGAAATCCACGCTCTATGTGTTCCCTTCCCACTGCTGTAAAGCCTTTTAAGAGCGCAGACGACTAGAGTGTGTGCAGTCGTCATCTAGGGAAGCAGAACGGCAGACTGCATCGCGCTGTCGCACGGCTCCCGTCAACTACAGCAGCCCTCAGATTAAAACAGATAAACAATGAAATTCTGAAAAGTAGTTACCAGATACTACAATGAAAGTAAGGAATATAATGAAAATTATCAAAACTGAAGATAAATCCCTAGCTCAATAGGTGAACATTGTCCACCTAGCTAGCATTCTAACAGACGCTTACATGGCGCAAAGCCAGCTTGTCGAGAGCTGCCATATCGCATTACTTTGAAATTTGAAAAAAAGAGAAAAAAGCAAAGGAAAGGATTTGTAAAAAAGTGTTCCACTGGATTCGTTCTATCGAAAAAAAGAAGGAACATTACCAAAACGAAACAGGTAGAATGACATACCTCAAATATCCGGGTTAACCCTTCCACGAACATTTCTCGAACTCCTAATGTGCCACCAAATGTTGCAACTACGATAATTACTAGTAATGCGATTGTAACCGGCGGAAAAAGCATAAGAATCATCCAAGCAACCATTTTCTGCAAATAAATGACTCGAAAGTGAAGAAATCTATCATTTTCTCGCATTCAAGCACAGCACAGTCGAGATCGATAAAATGGATGAAAACCTAGTAGGAATGTCAGCAGTATTAACAAGTAAGGTAGAGTGTAAACATTGGATTATCTCACACTAGTCACGATAAGGTACCCCCGTAGAAAACCTGAGATCGAACCAACTAAATTCACCCGTTGTCTACAGCGCTAACGAATTCTGTCAATATTTCCAGTAGCTTATCGATGGCCTTGTTAGTGACGTGCTTACTAATAATCTTATCTGGTAATTATTGACTAATTTATCACGCAAACATCATGTGAAACTAAAAAAAAACCGACAAAAAATGAAATTCCATTCCAGTGACTGTGAGACTGAAAAAGCGAAAAAAAGTACCTGTCAAAAATTCATTGCATTCCTGAAGACAGACCCTGTGAAAATCACAGCGAATCAACAAAAGCTAATTTTTTTGCCAAGAAATTCACGGCAAATAGCTGCGTGACAAAATAGGTATAAATGAAGTGAGCAGTGAAAAAATATGGTGAAAATCAAAATAGGTTTTTTGAAAACCATTTCATTATGCCACTACTCTTCAATTATCGCAAGTTCCTCATCTAAGAAGAACAAGAGGAAATTTTTCGAGAATTCAAAGTTTTTCCAAATCAGGGCACGTCCTTGGGAACAGCTAACGGAAGGGGGGGGGGGGGGAGGCCATACATAGTTGCTGAAGGACCGCGGAATCATATTCCTCTCCGAGTAAATGCTTTTAGACATTTCTGGGCTTTTCTTGTTTCTACTGCGCCTCGTACTTCCTCCTGACGGCGATTTTTTGTTAGAAAGCTGGAGAAATTTCAGAGAAAATGGGAAAAACTATGGGAAAGTGGTGGGAAGTTGGAAAAGTTTAGGATGGCAGATATGAGGAGGGATGAGGAAGGGGAGGGGGTGGGTCGTACCAGAAGGGGGAACTTTCAAAAGGACTGTTTTCTGCAGAAAATTTTCATTTCTTTTCGACCTCTAGACAAATTACGGGCGAGAACAACTGATGGGAACGGTGCAGTGATAAGTGGCACCGCCAACGAAACTTTTACGAAGTCGGTTTTTAGTATCAAACTGTCCGGGAGGACGAATCGTTGTCTTGCACACCAGCTGTCCCCAACAAGCACCGTACGTCCTGCCGTTGGGGGGAAAAATCTGGTAAAGTACAATCTCCCTCACAATTTCCTCCTCTGGTACAACCCCTTCTCCATCCTACCTATCTTCTCCCTGAATGCTCCCAAATTCTCACCAGTTTTCCGGAGATTTTTCACAAGAAGTTTTTAGTTTTTACGCCAAAACTGTAAAAAACGGTCCTCGAGCGGGAAGGGAGGAGGGGTGTAACAGTGCTCTCAAAACAGGAAAAAACCGGGAAGTCAGCAACCGAAATAAATTTTTTTGAAGGATATACGACCCCTCCCACTTCAGCGACCACCACCCTCGCTGAGCATCCCTTAACGTACAACGTGCCCTTTGAATAAATTACTGTGTAGGCTATATCGTATCATAAGTCATCGCGTGAAAATAGAACGCGTGGCGCATCCCATAATCGATCAGCAGCAACAACTCTCGAAAAGCTCGACAGAGGAACTCTCTAACAAAATTGTTGAAAGAAATATTACATAGTAACAACATCGGTTAATCAACGTTCCACCTTCATCTCTTCTTGATGCCAGTGGTACGTAAAAATCATTTTACTTTTAGTCATTAAAGTGGTTTATGAAGTTAAAATAAGTTCAACGCAGGAAACTTATCGGTGAGAAGTAACAATGGGGAAAAAGGTGACTCCAGGTGAAGAAATCCAGGCAATGAGCACGAGTTTTCAGAGGCCCTACTACTTTAAAAAGGGATTAAAATGCTCAAAAATGATGTAACGCCAGAAAAAAAGCATAAACTTAATTCTACGAGTAGCCAATAACAATGCGGTTGGCCGGCCAATATCGATCAATAAGAGAATATTCGGGAATGCACACGAGTGTTCATCGGGGGAAAGGCGAATTTCGAATTAAACACAACGAAATCGCTTATTCAGTAGGAGGCGCACGCTGGCATTTTTCAAAGACCACACAAAAAGGAATCGATTTTGAGGAGATGAGGAGAAGCGGCCAGCGTGTAATAACGAAATCAATCGCATACCACGAAAAATGTTGACGGCACGGAAATCTGTGGGGCAAAAACAGGCACGAAACGGCAGACCACGAGCAATCGCGACATGTGCTGCAATAGAGGGGAGTTCTGTCACAATCGGTGTTGACGAGAACCGAAGAACTTCAATTAAATCGATTCTCAACTACTATAAACTGGATCATAACAACATTGAAGTAATTTGACTGTGTTATAAATCGTTACGAGCTTTTAGGAACATTTTTCAATCGATAAGTATCAGCGATCGATAAAACGCAGTGGGGTATTTGATTGAAAAAAATGAAGTGAACGATGAAGTGCGAAACGGCGATCAGATAGCGCTTTCGTGATAAGTAACGATCGGCGGCAAGGTTTCTCTCTAATTGTTGACCGAGTGATGTTTCGTACTTGAGTACACACTTATGAGCATATGGAACAAGTCAAATAACACGAAAGCGCAACGAGTAGCGCACTCGTTTGGGGAGCGTGAGGTGAGAGTTCAAGCCTAGCCCCGTCAAGCCTTTTTACCATTAACTCGAAATCCTCATAAAAAAATGAAATTATCCAAAGAGTGGAAGGCTAGAAGAGGCGACAGCTGCACATGGGTGTCCACTGGGTGGCCCAGTCGATATACTCGCATGATCTACAAAGGATCGATATGACTATTTGACGTGCTGGTGAAATTAAAGAGCTGCAAAGCATACCGAGAGCAGGCGCGTTTCCTGCTGATCAGGAGCAGTCAAAAAGTGCTTAAGCACTTTGTACTATGCTTCTTTTCAGTATTAAACGGTAGCCACACGGTGATCACGAGAACTTCTTACCAGCACACCTGTGATGCCCCGTTACATGACAGATCTTCCTTCAACTGGTGGGCCCAAATAACAGGTTAAATACTGCGTAACTTAATTTCCATTCGAAGTTATTCTGTAGAGGAATGGCCCACGTGAGAAGAGCAATGATCACATTAAACGCTGTGTAACGCCGTTCTGTGAGAATCTCGTCTTCATTTCGTCACTTCCTACATCGATATTCAGTAATTTCACGAGCTTTTTTCACTTTCATATGGGATATGTGTGTTCATGTCCAAAAACGTGTTCTATATCTTCAGAAACATGGAACTGATGCAAATAGGCCATCTGAAATAGCATTGAAAGAGAAAAATGTATGACACCCTATGTGTGTCACGCGATCCACAAAGTGTTGAATAGAAACGAAGGAGTGAAACTTCGTAGAAGAAACAAGGTAATGGGCAGTGTGCAAGACAACAGAATGTGAAAAGCATATAATAATCGAAGTAGCGAGAACACAATTTTCTGCACTTTAGGGCGACCCCCTATAGGGCGCACTTCTGCACCGAATTTCACCAATGTTTTACTTGACTTTATTTTGACACCTGACTACTTACAAAAAAAGACCGGAAAATCGGATGCGGTGTTCAGAAGTTTTCGCGCGCGTTGTCGCGTGCGCCCCTACGAGCGCGCTGATGAATGCGTCTTATACAGCACATTGACTGGTAGCAGAGGGAATCGAACGGTATAGTCTCTGCTTCCGGAGGCTTGAGGAGTTGCTCCTGTGGTCTTACCAACGTACGCGGCTTAGCCCTTTATGGAAACACTCGTCTCCGACTGTAAGGTCAGAGGGGGAAAACCACACCATTTTTATTCCACAGACGCTGGAAAAAAATGGAATACGCAAATCTCACAGTGAAGATATGATGGTCCCGGATAAAACAAAATCAAAACAAAGCACAAACATAGGAAACGAAACACTGGGAACAAGAGCGAAGGAATAGGCTGTGAGTCGAAGTTCTAAAGGAAATAAGAACCGGGACCATCATTGTGACAGGATGATAAGGTCATTTTTCCCTTCAGGTAGATGAAAGGGTCCACCCGCGAGATCCTGGTCCTTGGTCCAGAACGCAGAGAGGTGACAACAGTACTGGGGCTTGCTGACAACTTAACCCGTTACGAACGAATTCGTCCGGGACCCCAGGCGAACAAACCGAGGGGGACCTCGAGCGAGCGGGTTCATCATCCTTCGGGTTCCTCAAACGACTGACCTTCACAGCTGAACGCCACATTTTTGAAAGAATTACAACTAGTCGGCTTATTGCTCCCAAAGTAATAATATCACAAGCGTAATCGTTCTCGTTATTGCCCCAAAAGCGGGAAGAACCGACGACGGAATGGACTACGGTTTGTCTGTCGTGGCCTGACAACATTCGAATGCGCCTTTCACCTGGAGTTCGGCCAAGCCGGTGACTGGGCCTGTAAAATTTTCGGTTTTTGGTCTTTTTGTATTTCATGCTTACATTTGTTTAACCCTGGGAGGGCTTACAAGGGCGAGATACAGTGAATCACTTCAGATGACCTATTTTCATTAATTCAAGCTCTGCAACAGAAGTACGAATGAGACACTTCCAGCCCATTTGACGACAAGGGGAAAAAGTTGCTTTCATTATTTATCTGCTGGACATACGGCGCTAAACTTTTCAAACTGTTACGAGATGTGCCAGAGCCGTCTTGGCACTTTTTAACAACTAGACACAATATGCCAATGACTTCGTGCATAATCTCAAGGGTCTGTTGTAAAGAGAATTTTCCAATTTTCACTTGTTTCGTAGCATAATTATTGAAAATGGTATCCAACAATTTAGGCTGGCACATATGTCTAAAGACAGTCCAAGATTACCCGACTTGCGGAATCTCTTTCCTTGCTCACAAGGTGGCGCAGCCCGCAGTTGCATTGGATGTATACTCACAATCCCGGAGATCGGGTAGGCGTGGCTGCGTACCTGATTTAAGAA